AAATTTATATTTATATTACAGAGCCTTGTTAAAACTCTTATATTTGATACACGCTGGCTTAAAAAATGCGTTTGTTTACCAACATTAATATATATAACAGAGAAAAGTATAGAGTCGAAAGGATCTGAATAGCTCAGCTGGAAGAGCAGTCGCCCGGCAAGCGAAAGGTCTCGGGTTCGATTCCCGATTCAGCGATTTTCGGATCTATATTTTTCTCTTGCATTCATTTATTTATTTTCCGTAGGGGGGTTAAAGGGGTATTGAAATTAAATCTCAAAATATGAGATTATTTCATATTTAAAATCTTGGCCGTGTCCAAGTAAAAATTTGGTGCCTTGTGCACCGGTATTTAATTCTAACGAAAAATTATTTAGTTTCGTTAGGATAACGCATTGTCATCCGCGATTTGGCTCTTGTTGCCCGTCTTATACGTTAAAAAAAATTAGTTATACAATTATAAGAAAAAAAGAAAAATATATAAAACAAAAAAGATACAAAGAAATATATATAAAAATATTAAAAAAAATTGTTTATAAAATACTTAAAAACAGCTCAAAACTGTTTAATGCGGTAAAAAAATAAATAAACTATTATTTAATGAAAAACGTGATCTGATCGCCAGTTGAATTTTTAAAAACCAATAACTATATCCATAACTATATCCGATAAAATAGGGGACAAAGGGAAGCCCATAGGTTACAACTGACAGTTACCTGATTATTTGGTTATTTCCATATGTATTTTAATTCAACAGGTATTTATGTATATCCTATTATATTTTTGAGTTCTTTTTTGCATCGATTATTCACTGATATTTTTATTGTTTTTATTGTATTACCGAAATGTATAATGTAATTTTTGTAGCCTGAAGAGGACCCAATTGATGGTCGAAACGTCGTTTCTTTTTTAATAAAAGAATTTTAACTTTGCCGGTGTTGGTCAATCAATTCTTGCCTAATTTGGCTATTATTTAATGTTTTATTTGTGTGCCGAGTTTCATCAAAATCGGATAGATTTATTTGTAAAAAGTAAAAACTAGTTTAAACACGTGAAAAATCGTATATTTGCGCAAAATTAAAAATTAAAATAAATGAGAAAATCAATTTGAGCTAAAAACGACAGATTTCTTCATACTTTAACATCAGAAACAACTGTACAAAATTTGAAAAAAAATCGGAGTTTGACGTTCCCCGAGGTTTACTGGTAAAAGGCACAAAAATTTAGTCGATCATCGACAAAAGTCGATAAAATTTTATTAATCACCTTACGTAATTTTTTACAAAAAACAAAAAGAAGGAAACTCGGAAAATTTAAAAAAATAAACACATACATACACGCACACACATAGACATTTTTCAAAAATGTTATTTTTCATGTTTTGGGACATTCTGAACATATTGGCATAAAAATCTAAAAAAATTATTTTCCGAAAACAAAGCTTTGTCTATAAGAAAACAAAATTAAAATAGTATATTAGCTAACAAGTGCGGGGGATCGTAAATCGGCCGAGAGTGCAGAAGTTAGGCGCACGAGGCGAAGCCGAGTGTGACAATCCGCACGATCGGCCGATTTATGACCCGCACATGTTGGCTACGATATTTTGTGTGACCGGTGCATGGAAAGGGAGCCCTTTCTAAAATCTCATTATGTGCGTAAAGGGCGACTTTTCGCGCGCTGGTTGCACAAAAAATTTTTTTACCATTGTCGCCATCCCTAAAAAATTTACAAAATTTTGGTACCAATTTCGAGAAAATCAGTCCATTAACAAATGAGTAGTTCGCGGTCAGACAAACAGATAGATAGACAGATGCGATATTTATATGTATTTATTAAAATTACTTTGTATATTACTTCGTAATTACTTCATAATTCATTTTTTATCATAAGTTTTAATAATAGCATTTTAATAATAGCATTTTTTAAATTCTAAATATTATTAAAAAAAGAACACACAAGCAAATTCAGAATATTTTAGCCTTTAGTTTGTATTTTTAATCCTAATTTAAATTTCTATGAAAACAATAAAATAAAATTATGTTGATTTTGAAAGAAATAATAGATTGTTCAAAAAATTAACATCTTTTCAATTTTATTACATACAATAAAAAATTGAAAAAGGATTGTTATAAAAGTATTAATGTCATCTTGATATTTTTTAAAATAGAATCAACTATTTTATGTATATATCAATCAATTTCTCACAATATTCAGCATAAAATATTATGAAGGATAGTAAAGAAATGAATAGTTTGCGAGGTAATTTATACTTTAACTTTTATAACATATTTTTATGTTTTTATTACACTTTTATAACATATTTTTATGTTTTAATTAAAATTTATAATCACGAATACTTATGTGCATATGCATATATACATATATGTATATGTATGTGTACGTATATCATGTGTATTATATGTATATAACATTTAGTTTATTGTATTTAAATAATAAAAATTAAATAATGAATTAAATAATGAAAAATTTAAATAATTTTTTTCATAAAATTAAAGAAAAGTATTTATGTAGAATTTAAACTTTACAATTTAAGTATTACAATGGGCAAAATTTTTGCTTTTTTAGACATTTATCTATTCAATTTCTGAGCAATCAGTTCAGTACTTCAATATTTTAATTCTCTGTATTGAGATGAAATCGAGAAAATTAAACTAATATAAAAACAAATATGATATATCATTTAGTCTTAAAGCTAATTTCGTCAACTTTATATAATTCTCCTGACTAAATCTATAAAACTTAATACGAGACAGATAGCGAATCGCACTTCGCACAGCGACAAATGAAGGAACTACCTGATTATTAAATTCTACTTTTTTATATTTGCTTTCTTATAGTGGAAGCGTTGTTTTTGTGAAATCTTTTTATCAGATTTTTTGTACCAATGTATTCCAAAGAATACTCCAAAACATCAAAAATTATTTTTTTTTTTTTTTCAAAAATGTCGCTGTATGTGTATATATGTATGTCTATCCACCAATTTAAACGTTGTAAGATAACTGTTTGAGTTATACTTCAATTTGGTAAAATAGGATAATAACTTGTATATATTTACTATCATTTTTATAAAAATGTATGTTTTAAATTTTAATGCAATTTTAATTTTTCAAAAAATGTCTGTGATGGCTTTAACTTCCGTAAATTTTAAGATATTAGAGGATAAATTGTTTTACATAAGTAGACTATTATTAAAGGAGGATTTTGATATTAAATTTGACTAGGATTAGTAAGATTTAATTTTTTATCAAATAATTTATTATTAACAAATGTCTACCTTTTGTTCTAACTTTCATTTCTGAGATATCGAAGTAAATTTTTTTACAGGAATAAAATATCGTTAAAAAATGTTTGATATTGAGTTTGGTGAAAGGATTCATTTTTTATGAAACTTTCATATCAAAATTTTTAAGAAATGTGCATTTTCTAATTTTCACAAATTTTGTGATATCGAGCTAAATTTTTTTGTGTGAATAAAATACCATTAAAAGATATTTGGCATTGAATGGTATGATTCGCTGAAAAGATTCATTTTTATAAAATATTTATAAAATTTTGTTGAAAAATGTATATACATATATATAATATTTGTAGTTGGTCTAACTTTCGTAAATTTTGAAATATTGGATTAATTTTTACATGAATAGAGTATCATTATCATTAGATAGAGAGCATTATTACAGAGTATTTGAATATAGCGAGAATTTTCAGTGAAAGTGTTCATTTTTTATGTCAATTTGTCAAAAAATGTAAATTTTTAAATTTTACAAAAGAAAATGCCATCACCGCATGGATAAGATATAAAAACTTAATGTCTTTGTTACACATCAATGTTGACCGCCTTTCTCGGAACTGCTTATTCCAGTTTTTTACGTTTTCAGTGTTCTTTTATCATTTTATCATTTTATTTAAATTTTGTTGGTTTTCTGCCTTTTTGAATCACTAAATACTGATACGCATAATTTTATAAAGATTATGGCTTAAGAATTTTATAGAGTAATATAAAATTTTTTTTACGTTGAACATAATGTCAGTCATACTTATTCAGTTTCGGTAAAAAACATTTCTTTTTTTTCAAATTATTATTTTTGAATACTACAATTTTTTACTATGTGTGACTAAAGTATGTTGTTGTATTTCAGTTCTTATAAAGTATTCTCTTTATTAAAAATTAAGATAAAATGTCTTAATTGATTTAGTGTGAGAAAATCAATTCGCCAGTACAAAATTAAAACCTACAATATAAGTATGTAATATTAAAGAAACGACCAATACTGGATTATAAATGCTTTATTCAAATCAATGCGTCATGACGTTTCGACCTGTGGTTTAGGTCATTTTCAAATAAACTGTAAAAAAATATATAATTATTTACCATTGCAATAAAATACGATTAAAAACAACTAAAAAGTACAAGAAATTTTTACATAATCTTGGAGATGACATCATAAATACAGCAATGCGCAAAATTGTAAAATATCACAAAAATAAATATATATAAAGTTAAACTTTGTGACTTCTCGTCAGTAAAAGAGCGTGTTCATATAATACAACGAATTTTAAATTAATCTAATAACCTTATCATAAATAATATTTAGGTTTTCAGTATCCTTTTGAGCATTTAACGTGTTATTAACTTTTTTTATGTAAAACATTTCAGCCAACTCTCTTTTTCTAGTATGTTTTTCGTTATGTAAAATTATTGGATTATCTCAATCAAAGTCGTGATTAAACTCTATCTTGTGTTTGCTTATAATCGACACATTGACTTGAATAAAGCATTTATAGTCCAGTATTAGTCGTTTCTTTAATATTACATACTTATATTGCTCTCTTTATTGTTTCTTCTCCTGAACAAAAATAAATTCAGTTATAAATAATAAATTGAAAGTACAAGATGTATCAAACAGACGAATAACTAAAATAGACAAATAAATGATAAATCATTAAACAAAAGTCATATTTTCTGCATGAAAGCAAATATAATTGAATATTGTCAATGTGTAATTAAAAGTTGATATACATATAAACACAGTGTTATTAAACATTAGTAGCGATATTAAATATTAGTAGATATATTTTATACACATTTTTTTGAAAAAAATGCGAAGTCTCGATTTACTTGTTACGTGACAAAGATCCATAGCTATATGAAAAAATTATGAATATATATAGGTCACTCTACTTGGCAATAATTTGCATCTAAAAAAACACATAATATTAAACCATTTTATAATGATAACATATTTTCGTATTTCTAATTTATTTATTTGTCAATTCTTACCACGTGTCACAGATACTATCCAACCAATGAATTTCCCTACACGTGTATTAATTGCAGGGTTTGAACCACAACCTCTACCAGAAGACGTTATACCACATATTATCTGACGACTTGTAGTAGGATTTTCCCATAAATCAGGTCCGCCGCTGTCCATCTGTGGCCAAGAAAACAGGAAAAAATATAATTTTAAAATCTTTTTATATATTATCGTTTTTGAATAATATTATAATAATTTAGAATTATTATTTATTAAATAATAAAACTTTTGTTTTTATACCTGACAAGTGTCTTTTCCTTGAGTGTACGTACATATATTTTTGTCAGTTACGTCAGAATCATATTTGGCACAGTCTCCAGGATTTATGACATTTAACTTTACTTTTTGTAGTGTATGCGCTTTGGAGCCACCAAATTCCGTCATACCCCAGCCTAAGTAGAATTAGAATAATATTAATAGCGGATGTTAATGTATTTAATAATGAAATTATAATAATGAAATTATAATAATGAAAAATTATAATAAAAGTAATGAAAAAGCACTAACCTAATGCTGTTACAATATCACCACCAAATGTGTCGTCTCTATGTTGAAATGGTAGGCAGGCCGGGCCAACCTCAGCACTATATTCTATGGTACCGTTAATTTTACAAATAGCTATATCGTTATCGTTGTGATTATCGTTGTAATGCTCATGCATTATACAGTTGACTATGCGAAACAGTTTAGTTGCATTGGTCTCTGTACCTATCCACAAAATAGTACACACATGCAAACGAGTGTAGACTTCAGGGAATATCGAAAGTATGTTTTTACCAACTGAATGCAAATATTAAGTTATTTTTAAATATCTTTTTATTGACTATACTGATCAATAAATCCTTTTCCACAATTAAAGTACTTATAAAAACGGACTACACTAGCTATGTAACGGATCGCCCTTTCCTGGCGCCACGGATCGGCTCGTCGGTGCCAGGATTCGGGAAGAGGGGAGACTTAGATTCGCAAGAACTACGCGGTTGTTCTGGTAAAAACAGAATTTATTCAAGTCACCTTTCAGTGGTTGACTTGCTATTTAGTCCACAGATACAGAGAATATTAAGACGGACGAAACGCGACCAGATTATTCGGACGCGAGCACGACTTATAGCTAGAATTTACAAGGAGAAGTACGACGGACGAAATATATACGACGCGGACGCGGATACGGGCGCCCTAAAAAGGGCGAGCTCCGTAGAACGCAGGTGATTCGCGGACAGGACCCGGTGACCAAGAACACTCGGCCTACGCGACGAGAACGCTCGTCGGCCGGGACAGTTAGGAGCTTAGGGTTCGAGGAGTGATTTCTGAGAACGCTCAAGAGACCGGAGTGGGACTGGACCAGAAGCCTCGGCTGAGCCACTTCTTATACCCGCCAGTCGACCCCCTCCAAGCTAGTCTTAGAGTGGGGTGGTTGGTCGGGTGGGGCGAAAAGGCGAATTTCCATCGCGTTTATTATATAGTTGCCCCGAAAGGGGCCGTTTGTATGAGCGCGGGCGGTTGGTCGGCCCTGTGCATGCGCGGCGCCTAGTGACGACTAATCGGGTCGTCACATCACCCTTTTCACGGGGAGATGGGTAGCCGGTGGCTGTCCATGCCGGTTAAACCGGATGATCCAGCGGCTAGTTGGGGTGCGTACCTTGTATCGCCGTGAGATGATGGCGGCGTGGTACGGGACGTCAACCGTTTGGCTGTCCCCCAGGGTAACTCGTATGGGACGTGGCTGGTCCTGGTGTGTCACTGGCGATGTTGGAGCCCCGCTGGTCGGCGGTTGACGCGGTGTCGGTTGGAGTGGCGTCACGGCTGGCAGCCCGGCAGTGAGAAGCGCCGATTGGTCCGCTGCAGCAGGAGGCACCGATTGGCGTGTAGTGGCTGGCGGCCCGGCAGTGGATGGCGCCGGTTGGCGCGTAGCGGCATGAGGCGCTGATCGGCGCGCAGCGTCCGGTGGCGCCGATTGGCGTGCGACGGCTGGCTTCGTTGGTGGTCGGGCTGACTGGCGCGTGTCGGTCGGTGGTGTCGTCGAAGGTTCGGTGACGGCGGCGACGGTGGAGGCCGGAGAGTCCGAGAGGACCGGTGGTCGTCGGTGTAGAATTCTCACCGGAGCTGGTCGGTGTCTGCTCGGTAGTGGCGGTGGCGCCTCGAGGAACACAAGATTCCGGCGTCGCTGCTCTGCGTCAGACCGCTGGATTTAGGTCTCCACTCGTGGTACCGGCCGGTTGGTTTGCCCGGAAATGAACGGATTATTATCCTGGCGCTGGTTAGCTTCCTCGCTCTTGCTCGGTGCTTCCATCGTGACAGGATGAACTCGGAGCCAAGCGGGTCCGTCTTTTATACCTCTAAGGGTAAGAGGTCAGCGGTGCGTGGCGTCTCGTAATTGGCCCTAGCGCGGACCATGACGAGCGACCGTAGCAATTCACTAGCGCGGACCATAAAGAGTGACCGTGTCGGCCTCCGAAGCGCGGTCGGCTGTCCTGCTTGGCGTGCCGTAGGTGCCATCGATAATTAGCGCTGATTGGTGCGTTGCGGATATGGCTGGCAAGTGATCGGCGGCGCTGATCGGTGCGCGCCACTAATGTGCCGCGAGGTACGTATGTGTCCTGTCACGGTCGTCAGAAGGTTTATACCGGACGGTGCAGATGAAGAAGATGGGTACGCCTCCCGATTAACGATGCCGGGTGTTGATTAGCGGGAGCCTACCTTCTGTGGCTCGCCCGCAGGTAGCGGTTCTGAGGCTGGCTTCAAATCTCGGACGTGGATGTGTCGGTGCCATCGACCCCGGTCGTCCTTCAGGTCCATGATGACGGGGGAGATGATGTGACCGACCGTCATCGGGCCGCCAAATCTTGGCGCCAGTTTGGCATTAAAGCCGCGCTCTTTATTTGATAGCTCCTTTTTCCTAACCCGGTCTCCGACCTTTGGGCGCCAGTCGCATCTGCGTAGTCGTAGTTTTGCTGCTGGTGTTAGAAGGCGTGGGCCAGGTTGATTCTGACGATTTCATAGGCGTCTTCGAGGCGACGTCGGACTTCTTCAGGAGCGGTGTTGGCGGTTGCAGGGCGTCGGTCGTCAGGATGCGGCAACTGTAACTCCCGGCCGTACATCAGAAAGGCCGGGGTGTATTCCGTGGATTCTTGTCGCGCGGTATTGAAGGCGAATTGGAGCTGAGGGATGTACTCATCCCAGCGTCGGTGCCGGCCTCTCACATATTGCGTCACCATGGTTTTTATGGTGCGGTTGGCTCGCTCAACCGGATTGCACTGTGATGCGTAGGCGGGGGCGGTCCGGTGTTTGATCCCGAAGGATCGTAGCAACCCCTCGAGCTGGTGTGATCGCAACTGGGTCGTTATCGGAGATGATAATGTCCGGGCAGCCGTGACGGTATATAATGCGCCCGGCTACCTTTCGCGTGACGCTGGCGGCGGTGGCTTGGCGAAGCGGCGTCATTTCTAACCATTTGGAAAACCGATCTTGCATGGTCAGCAGCCAGGTATGTTCATTGGTTGATCGCGGCAAGGGTCCGACCAGGTCAATTGAGACCTGTTGCCACGGATGCGTGACATTGGTGGCCCGGAGTTTCCCGGCTGGCAAGATTTGTGCGGCCTTGTAGGTGGCGCAGTTCCGGCAGTCACGGACGTATCGAGTGACGTCGCGGAACATCCCTGGCCAATAGTATAGGCGGGCCACCCGTGCAATGGTCTTCGTGATGCCAAAGTGTCCGGCGGTCGGGTCGTCATGCAGCCGGTGCAGTATTTCCGCGCGCTGGGGCCTCGGGACGCATTGCTTCCATTGCTCCTCGCTTGGTGAGTCGTGGAAGTTGAGATCGTGCAATATGTGCCGGTATAGCCGGCGGTTCTGAATGCGGTAATCCGCATGATCAGCCGGGTGTTGTTGTACCTCGCGATAAAGGCGTCGGTACCACTGGCAATCTGGAGCAACCTGTATAACACAGGCCTCGGGTTGACAAGAGAGAGCGTCGGCCACGATGTTCAGTTTTCCTTTTCGATACTGGATGTCATAATCGTACTGCTGGAGCTCGAATAGCCATCTCCCTAGGCGACCGGTGGGGGCCTCCAGTCTTTGCAACCATCGAAGCGACTGGTGATCGGTGACAACCGTGAAGCGATAATCCTCCAGATAGTCGCGCATTCGGCGAATTCCCCAAACCACCGCCAGGCATTCTAATTCTGTAGCGCTGTAGTTCCTTTCTGCGCTATTTGGCGTAGACAATAACGCGTTCGCCTTCGGGCAGCTCTTGTGTGAGCACAGCCCCGAGTCCACAAGCGCTGGCGTCGGTCTGGAGGGTAAACGGTCGGCTAAAGTCGGGACAAGCAAGGACCGGCGCGGTGGTGAGCGCCCGCTTCAGCTCGTCAAAAGCCTTCTTCTCCTCAGGTCCCCACGTAAAATGTGCCCCTTTCTGTGGGTCAAGTGTGTCAACGGTGCGGCGGTGGCGGAGAAGTCTGGTACAAAGCGGCGGTACCATGAGGCGACTCCGAGGAATTGACGTACTTGACGGACGGTTATAGGTGCTGTCCACGCGGCTACAGCACTGACCTTGTCTGGGTCAGTTCGAATGCCGTCTTTGTCAACTATATGTTCCACGTATTTAAGACGACTGCAACAGAAGTGGCACTTCTGTGGGTTAAGGCGGAGACACGCTTGTCGCAACCGGTTGAAGACTTTGGCCAGGTGTTCCATATGGGTCTCCAAAGAAGGACTGACTACGATGATGTCGTCGAGATAGACCGATACATGAGGCTCGTGCTCCGGGCCGAGGACATCATCCAGCAACCGTTGGAACGTGGCCGGTGCTGAATGTAACCCAAAGGGCATGACTCTAAATTGAGAGTCCTCGTCCGGGAATCGTAAAGGCGGTGGCTGAACGACTGGCCGGGTCTAGTGGCACCTGCCAATATCCGTCCTTTAAGTCCAGCGTCGAAAGGTACTGGGTCCCGCAGAGCTTGTCGAGTGTAGCGAAAATGTGCGGCAGTGGGTATGCGTCCTTGTCGGAGGCTTGATTCAACTTGCGGAAATCGATACAAAATCGGTGGCCCCCATCTTTCTTTTTTACGAGGACTACCGGGGAACTCCAGGCGCTGCTGGAGGGTTCGATCACTCCGGCTTCTAGCATTTTATTAACCTCGCTATCAATGACGGCCTGCATGGCCGGATTACGTGGCCGGTACCGTTGCTTTATCGGGGCCCCGGGTCGTAGTCTGATCTGGTGTTCGGTGCAATCGGTGGGTCCCTGCACGGATTCAAATAATCGGAGCTCAATGTCCAAAAACGGAAACGCTGGTCCTCCTCTGGCGAGCGTGGAGAGATTCCAGCAGACAATTGGCCGTGAACAGACGCCAAATGGACTGGAGCCGTCTCCCTCGGCCGGTCGGATAGCGGGCGGCAACGTGATGCGTAAACGAGCTCACAGATCGACTCCGATAAGTACCTCACTGCTGAGGTTGTCCAGGACCTGAAAATGGTGGCGGACAGAGCGAGGGCCGATTCGGAAGGCGAAGCAGACTGAACCGGAGGTGGGTGCCCTGGACCCGTCGGCTAAGTTGACCGGTTTTTCGGATGGCTGGATCTGAAAACCGTGTTTGGTTAGGCGTCTGGTCATGGCGGCATTTACGAAGGACACTTCGGACCCGGAATCAAGAAGTGCCCAGGTGGTGAACCGGCGGATCCGAACCAGTAAATGCGGCCGTGGCGTGTAC